TATTTAGTCATATTAAAGTATATTTTTGACTTGTAGAGAAAAAAACCGTTAATTTAGATGTTACTACATTAAACTCAAACTTAGGTTACATTTAATATAAATTTTATTTTCTAGAATACATCTGCTTAAATATTTAAAGTTTTTCTGGCAAACATCTAATAATTATCATTTATAATAATTTTCATTTCATTTCCACTTGAAATGTATGATAAAAACAACTTTCATGCTGATCACTAATAAAGTTGTTCAGAATCTCCTCCAAACTCAACAACACAAACTCCAGTTGCAAATTTAACCAAAACTCTAATGACAGATCAATGACTGAACAATATACCATGATCCAAACCTTAATCAAGCTGACAACAAAATCTAAGCAAGAGTGTTGAAAACAAAACATAATACAAAAGGCCTAATGACCTAACCCTTAACTACTTCATCTAACCCTCTCAAAACAACTTTCACTCACTTACTTTACTTACTTTAAAAGATGTTATAACATATTTACTGTAGAAACTGTATAGAATGTTGCTGTCAGTTTACACTTTATTCTTTGAAAGATATATAAAAATAATACAAGTAATAAAACAAAATAATACTTATATGGGAAAACAATCACATTGACCACTATTTACTGTTTAAATGCATGCAGCAATAATAACTGATTTTGCACAGGAACATCTGCCACATAGTACGTTTACCGCACTAGATTTAGCTAGACATCATTTAATGAGGCAACCCATCATCGCACATCCTAAAAAAAATGAGTAAAGTGTGACACTGCTCTCTCCATGTTATCTACGGCAGCAGTGTGTAAAAATCACATTATTCAACTAAACACAACATGTTTAATATGTACAAGACTAAGGGCATTCAAAATGTGATGCAAATGAATTCTGAATTCTTGCATTTTGTTCTGTAGTGTTAGACATGCAAGCATTAGTCAGTAGTATTCTGTCAATCAATTGGATGTTTTTTATTGATGAATTATTATTATTACTGATGAATTATTATTATTAACTATTAATAATATAACTATAACTATTATTATTAGTAGTAGTACTTTCTAATTTAGGAGTCTCGTTTTCCCTCTCCCCTGTTCAACATGTCTGTAGCTTTACTTCATACCATTATTATGCAATTTTGCAATATTCCCCCCCCCAACTGCAAGTGTTATTTATGCTTACTGTACTTGCACCTACAGCACTGTACAAGTGACAGAAATAACAACCATAATTATAATTACATTCGTTTTAATTTAATATAAATGTACTATCATATACACGACATTATGCTGATATGCTGTAAACTTACTACAGTTTTTAAAAACGAAATACAGTATTTTCCTGTCACGTATCTGTCATTAAGTTATCTTTGATCTTACGTCAAACTTTTTCAGTAAAATACAAATAACTCTAAAGGTAATATACTAGTTTGTTTAACGTAAATCCCATTTTTTGCATAAAACAATATTCATCCTCATGCAAAAAAAATCGCTTTCCTCACCTCTGCTAGCTAGCAACCACTAGCTTAGCTGCGTAAAAATCTGCCGTTGCGTTTAATATATGACCGCGTGATATTTATTTGCGCTCAAATCTAACGTTACTGCTTCCGGCTGAACAATGCGAGGGAACGATCAAAATAAAGGCTGCAAATCATGTTTCAAGTGCGGACTGCACTCTTCAGAGAGAGAGCAAAAGAGATCAACTTGAACCTACATCACCCCCGACTACAATATCACCGACATTTCGAGTTAAAAACACGCAAAGTCGCGGGTAAATGTGTCCAACGCGCCCGCCGCGAAGGGTGATCGTTCCCCGGGTGAGTAGCTGCGCTGACACCGCCGTTCAATGACAAGCCACCTCTAACCCTTTTGTGTCTTTTTTTTTTTTTTCTCGCTCCCTGTCTACGCGTACATTTCCAGGCTGCATAACACACCAGAAGAGGTTGAAAGACCCTCTTTCTCTCTCGCCCACCTCTAAAGATGTTGCTCCATACACGCCGGGGAATGCAGATGTCGGTAGCCGAAGAGGTGGCACTCGGAGCCGGGCAGGGGCAGGACCCTCGACCCTGGGAGACCCTCCGGCGAGACGCGGGATAAGCGGCGCAGGCAGGCGGCGAGCCTCGCTCTGACTGGCGGAGAGGGGGAGCGAGTCTAGACCGCGGCAGAGGAAGAAAGGACTGCCACTGGGGTCAGAGAGCAGCGACGAGTGCATAGCCTCCGTACTAGCATGGCGGAGCGAGAGTGTGTGTGTGTGGTTACTCCTCCCCTCCCTTAGAAGAGTCTGCCATGATATGCGTTCACACGTGGAGAGGAGAGACCCTCTTTCTGCTGCTTATTTTCGCGTCTTTCTGCAGTGTCTTTTGTTTTGGGGGTTACATTTTATAGCATTGATTTAATCAAACCTAAGAGGACCTAAAGTACCTTGAGGAAGTGCATTTTTTAGGTTACATTTTAAAGGAGACACCATTATTTACTTCACACTGCGTGTATAAGAGCACTGGGTCTTTGTTACTGTCAAAATGAAGTGATGTTTGCAAAGTTTTTCCTTGTAGGACTGAGTGAAAAGGGTCTGCGTTAATTTCATAGGGTAAGGTCAGGTCAAATGGGCCACTTTTTGGTGAATTACACAGCCAAATTTTGCACACTGGTCTTTGTGTGATAAGTCAGGTATTTTCTATCATTGTATGTTATAATATGTGACCCCCCCAACACACACACAAAAAAAAAACAAGAGCTACTACGATATCAGAAATCCCAGCGTTGCATGGTAAAATGAGACAGAAAATCTACAACAGAATTATTAACAAAGAATCAAACGCTCTTGTTGTTGAATACAATCATTGCTGATTTAATTTTGTAACATGCCATTATAAGAAATGCATTATGACTTAATGTGTCAAAATGTATGTGAGTGATAGGTTCAGTTCAGACTTACTGCGTGTGAAAATAAGAATAATATATAACAAATATACCAATAAAAAGCAACTTTTCCTACTAAAACTCATCTGAACCACGTAGTGTGTATAGATGTGTGTGTGTAAGAGAGAGAGACAAATTAGTGTAGAGCTCTAAAGAGCAGTTGCATATAGCATTTCTCATAAACAGCTGTAAAGAAGCAGGCATAATTTTTTTTTTAATTGTAATTTTATGTGCAATTGTGCCGTTTCAAAAACTGATAACCAAATAAACACAAGTGTTATGTGAGTATGTATTTATAATGCATTCATACAGTATACTGTACATATGACGTATCCTAGCTTGAAATTAGATTATTTTAATTAAAGAGTTATTTAAAAAGAAAGGAACCATCAAAATATCTTAAAAATCTGGTCAAAATTAAATTCAGTGGCCAATTTTTATGTGACTTTTATTTAGCAACTGTATATATGGGATTATTTTGAAAAATGTAATTCACGATACTTTACTTTTTAGGTGTTCTATAGTGTTTTGTAAATGTATAAACCTTATAATTAACCATTTGTTGCAATTAGCATGTCAAGGAATTGATTTTATGCTTTATTATGTATGCTTTATTTATTTATGCTTTATTATTTATGCTTTATTTATTTATGCAGTTTTTAGTAGTGTTTTGTAAATATATAAAACTTATAATTGAACATTTGTTGCAATTAGCATGTCAAGGAATTTATTTTATGCTTTTCCCATTCAGCCTCTGAAAATGATTTGCCCTGCCCCAGTACACTGCTCACTCAGACCAATCAAATCAGTTCACATGTCAAGTACTATTGTGGCAAATGTTAAATTCAGATCTGAATGCCTTATGCAAAATATGGATCATAAACGTGGTGACTTATACTAAGCTGTAAAAATTATGAATGGGCTAATTGAAAAGTGTAAATTTTTACCACTGAAATCCTTGCTAGGTGACATGACGGCATTGGACTGTATCTGCTGTGCATTACTGTTACGTGTTGCAAGCAAGAAGGTGAATCTTTGAAATGTGGATTTTTCACTGACATGTTTCAATTTTCAGAAACCCACACACACTAATACACGCAAACCACACACAACGAAGCGACATTTCTATTTGACTTTTCTCTTATCTCTGGAAAATGTGTTTTCATCGACTAGCCAGCGGGCAATAATGTGAAGGCAGAGTAGGAATTTTATTCGCGGAGGCCGCCGTTAAACACTGCACCATCATTTGTCCCCCTGCCTGCACTAGCGAGAGAGAGAGAGAGCGATGATAGATACAGCTTCAAATGTCACTGAAGAAATGGCCTCTGACATGAATGTTTTATTCAGTCTTCTTCCCCTGATCACATCTATACAATAGAAAATGTAAATGTTATGCAGAATGCTTAAAAAATTCACTATATATTTTATGACCTTCTATAAAAAAGGGGCAAAATGACTCTATGAAAATGGAAATGGAATAAAAGCCATATTAACTGGGAGGGTGGGATAGATTCTGTGACGAGTGGTGGGTGATTTTCACGTAACCCAAATCTAGCAGCAGGGGCACAAAGGGCTCTCAGATAGACACACGCACACAGTTTTATGTTGATCAAATATATTGTCACTCTTTGTATTAGGATATCAAGACTAGAGGGATCTAGAGTGGAAGAGAAAAATATAATTGGATTTCATATAATATTGCACTGCATGACAGACTGAATTAATATCAGTCAAAAGGATTTATATTATAAAGAATTCTAAACAAGTAGGTCTGTAATACCTGGAAAAAGATATCTGAGAACATTCCTATTCACCTCAATGCCCATTAAAATACACAACCGTGCATCTTTGTTCATGCTCAATTTTTTGGAGCCAATCACCTGAGCCATAAAATGTCACGTGACTAATTATTCTGGGGCCAAAATGACATCATGACGACGCTGATTGACTGATGTCAGAATGCACACAAACCCTTCAATAGTGACTCCTGAGGTGTGACGTCAAAGGCTGCCTAAAGCTAAAAATATATTTCATGTTTTTAAGAACCGTGCACTGGTAATATCTACTATAATATAGCAATATATATATATAAAGACTTCTTCAGAATATACAGCTAATTATTGCACTGCATGACACTGAATAAAATGCCATAAAATGTCATGTGACTAATTATTCTGGGGCCAAAATGACATCATGACGACGCTGATTGACTGATGTCAGAATGCACACAAACCCTTCAATAGTGACTCCTGAGGTGTGACGTCAAAGGCTGCCTAAAGCTAAAAATATATTTCATGTTTTTAAGAACCGTGCACTGGTAATATCTACTATAATATAGCAATATATATATATAAAGACTTCTTCAGAATATACAGCTAATTTAGAATGGCCTTCAATAGAGAAACAAAAAGGTGTAGTTATGACATCTACCAGCAGAGGCTGACTGCCAATTCTAAGCAACCAAATACTGAACCTGTCTGATGTCCATCCAAGTTTAAGGGCCCAAATTCACACCTTGACATTTTTAATGTCAACATTTACATGTATTCATTTAGTAGAGGATTTTATCCAAAGCAACTTAAGGCTGGAAAGCACCACGCAATTTTGAGTAAAAGAGTAAAACTGGGCTTCAACAACTGATAATCACTCGCTACCAGAGTTCAAAAATTATGAACACAACAAGCTCACACAAAAACATGAAAACGTGTAGAGATACAAGACAAATGAAAACATAATCCCCCGGTTTCACGGACAAGGCTTAAGCCTAGTCCTAGACTAAAATGTAAGTCTGAGCTGTTTCAACTGAAAGAAACTTGCACTGACTGATCTTAAAATATATCAGTGCCTTTGTTTTGTCTCAAAAAGCACACCAGTAATGTTTTTTTCTAAGCTAATGTCAACATTTACATGTATTCATTTAGTAGAGGATTTTATCCAAAGCAATTTAAGGCTGGAAAGCACCACGCAATTTTTTTAATGTGAACTGATTTTAAAACAGTTTTTGTGTTAAATGTTTACAGAGTAAAACTGGGCTTCAACAACTGATAATTACTCGCTACCAGAGTTAAAAAATTATGAACACAACAAGCTCACACAAAAACATGAAAATGTGTAGAGATACAAGACAAATGAAAACATAATCCCCCGGTTTCACGGACAAGGCTTAAGCCTAGTCCTAGACTAAAATGTAAGTCTGAGCTGTTTCAACTGAAAGAAACTTGCACTGACTGATCTTAAAATATAT